CTGATGGGCGGGAGCCACAGTGACGAAAAAAACAACCCCCTTGCGCGTGGAACCGAGACGCGACTCCCCCCTTCCTAACACAGACCTAACACAGACTACTTTACGTCCCGGAGCGCGGCCGCCGCGGCGACGAGCTCGTTCGCCACCATGGTCTGGTGGAACTTCTCGACGTCGCGCCGCTTGATGACCTTTTCGTCGACGAGCACGAGGATGCGGTCCATGCACAGGGTCTGCAGCGCCGCGACGGCCGCGGGGCCGAGCGCGTCCGTCGCGGCGGCGACGGCGGCCGGCGGCGGCTTCGTGAGGTCGGGGACGTCGGGGTCCTCGTAGCTGTAGGCGTCGAGCGCGCGCTGTGGCAAGGACGCGACGGTCCTCAGCGCGGACCCGGCGACGTCGGTGGCCGCGGCCGCGGCCGCGTCGCCCGCGGCGGCCGCGCCCGACTTGACGGGCTTGACGACGGCCTCCTCGACGAGGGCTTTCGCGCCGTCGCCCGCGGCGGCCGCGCCCGACTTGACGGGCTTGACGACGGCCTCCTCGACGAGGGCCTTGGCCGCGCCGGCGAACGCGGCGCCGAGGGCGCCGGCCGCGCCGGAGAGCGCGGCGCCCAAGCCCCGGCCCGCGGCCGCCGCGCCGGAGCCGACGGCGTCGCCCGCGGCCGCCGTCGCGGAGCCGACGGCGTTGGACGCGGCCGCGCCGACGCCGTCCGTCGCCTTCGCCGTCGCCGACGCCAAGGCCCGCGTCAGCGGATTCGGCGTCGTGGGCTGCCGCGGCGGCGGCGTGTCGTCGCGCGGCGGCGCGGCGGCGTCGTCGCGGACCTCTTCGAGGAGCGCGCGCGACCGCTCGAGGGCTTCGGAGCGCTCGAGCGCCGCCTGGGCGCGCTTGACTAATTCCGCGTCCCTGTCGTCCTCCTCGGCGGCGTCGTCCGCGAGGTAGACCTGGAGCACGCGGTCGCCCTCCTCGCGCTTGACGGTGCCGTCCCAGGGCGTGGCCTCGGCCGCGGCGGCCCGCGCGCGCGCCTCCTCCGCGCGCGCGGCCGCGTCCGCGCGCTGCCGCTCGGCGAGCGCGTCGGCGTCGGCCGCGGCCCGCGC